AGTCCCTTCCAACCCTAACCATTCTGTAATTGTATGATCTTTACATGTCAGAAATTGCACTGCCAGTAATATGTAGAAATTTTTTCCTTTCACACTCTGCTTCAAAGCCTAGTATTAGAAATAAAAATACTTGTCATTGCAAAGAGAAAATTAGATCTTTTACTGAAAGTATTGCACAGTCTTAGTTTTAATTTCTCTCTCTGGGACTTAGGTATTTCCACAGGGGGACGGGTAAACCCCCGAGAAGGAATTGTGCTTCACTCTACAAAACTCATTCAGGAGTGGAGCTCTGTGGATCTCAGAACTCCAATATCTGATGCTCTGCACCTGCCAGTCTGGGTGGATAATGATGGAAACTGTGCTGCTCTAGCAGAGAGGAAATTTGGTCATGGAAAAGGAATAGAAAATTTTGTAACACTCATCACTGGTACAGGTGGGTATGTTACAGTTCAATGAAACCCAAAGTCAAAATACCAAGCACCATCATTAAGAGGCTCAACTAATCTTAAAAGCATAAACACCACCAGTGTGCCTGCAAAACCTTGATATATTTGGCTCTTAAACCAAAAATCCTTTTGCCACTGTATCTGTTTCTTTTAGGGTCCTTTTTAATTTATTCATGCAAATGAAACCTTTGGCATAGTATAAGCTTCTTGGTAAAAGAATTTCTGCTGATAAAACTATGCAGGCAAACCATTTTTCCAAAATAAGGAAAATCTGAGCAACTTTAGCTGGAATAATTTTGCTTTATTTAGCTTTACAGCTTAATTCTCTTCCAGTTGCTGAAATACAAGTCAGATCAGGATATATATCGAGAAGATAAGCAACTGAATTTGAGAGATGATGCTTGTTGTATCTCAAACACAAATGTGGGGTAACTTTTCTCTTTGTTAAGAAGTCCTTTAGAATGGTCGCAATAACAACTAGCTGATGAATCCCCTCTCAGGGTTTGGGAAGGGGAGCAGAGGATTGCAGATTTAAGTGTCCTGGCTCCTCAGCACACAGGTTTAGCTGTCTAAATACATAATTAAAACATCTCTGAAACGCAAAATTTTAAGGCCACTCGAAAGGTTGGATTTTTTCTTAAAGAGCATGACTCACAAGCTCAAAAGATCAGTCATAGTAGTTCAGTACCATCCATAGACTTTTAAGAAAGGAGAAGCATTATATGCCATTTTGATACATATATGAATAGGAGGGAGATATGGGCTTGCTTATTAGGCGTGTCAAACAGAGAAAGAGGTCTTCAGTAACTACTAATTTTTGGTTTCCAGTATAGAAGAACACTGATGCACATATTTTATTGTCTTTATTAGAATAAGCAAACGTCAGTGTCTTGCAGAATTGAGGCCTTTAAAAAAAGTGTATTTTATCTATTTTATATTTTTGTTAATCATAGAAGTTTCCATATCTTTGCAGGAATTGGAGGTGGAATTATTCATCAACACGAATTGATCCATGGCAGTTCTTTCTGTGCTGCTGAGCTTGGGCATATTGTTGTATCTTTAGATGGACCAGAGTGCCTGTGTGGTAGCCAAGGATGTATAGAAGCATATGCCTCTGGAATAGCATTACAGAGAGAAGCTAAGAAACTTCATGATGGTACCTATGCACTTCATTTTTGAAAATGTGATTACTAAATAGCAGTATAGGAAGAAATTTGCAGAGATGATATTAAGAAAAATAGACCTGCCATCTTTTTTCAGGAGGAGACAAGAATACGTGTACAGGCAACCCGATAGGATTCCTGTGTATGGCCAACCCAGGAGCTGCCACAATCTGCGTAGTACAATGCAATTCTCTTTCAGTGATGGCAATACCCAGGCAACCCACATTTGGAACCATTGGTCTCAAAATTACCTTATAGCACTCTTAAAAAAGAGGAACGAAACTCTGCTACATGCCACTGGTAATCTGATAGGTATTTTGTGAGGTTTGGTTTCAGAGTGATTGTCTTTCAGCAATAGCTTCTCTGTCTTGGATGTTAGAGAACATTTGTATTTTATTGTATTTTATTAACTTTTGGGGCTGACAAGACTAGTGAATTACCATACTATAATTGTTTTGAGTTTGATGCCCTGTTTCTACAAGTAGTTCCCTGAATAATTTGGATATGACCACTTTGGCTAAACTCAGGGTTGTACAGATTGCTTGGGATTCAGTGTGCAAGTAAAAGAGATGTAAAGATCTTAACTGCGTGTTTGTCACCCTCCATTTGTTAACGACATCACCATGTTTTTCCTGTGATTTTCTCTCCTTCTCTTCAGAGGATCTGCTTTTAGTAGAAGGAATGTCAATGAAGAAGGAGGAGGTTGTTAGTGCTGCACATCTCATTCAAGCAGCTAAACTTGGGAACGCAAAAGCAGACAGCATTCTCAGAACAGGTGAGAACATAGCGCAAAGTATGGAACCCTCCCATGATTAGATTTTTGGGGATACAGAAATGGTAATGCACTGTAACACTACAAACACAACTTTACACATTGAGGACCTCTCTATATAAAATTACTAACGGTAATGAAATGTTAAATATAAATGACGGAGGAAATGTGAGCAGAAGTGTGTATTAAAAGCCTCTGCTCCAAGAAATAATAAGAAAAGTTTCTGTAAAGATTAGTTTTAAAAAAAGTAAGGTCTCAACGTTCTCGTATTGGAAAATTTGGGGACACTTCATTGCAGGTAAGTGAATGGCTAGCCTGAGCAAGCAAAGGCAATTTACATGATACTTTGCATGGGACATTTTACTAACTTTAAACACAGTATTCCTCATACATTGCTGACAGCACTAAGATGGTAGAATAACGCTTTCCTATTTTTTCTTAGCTTACAAGAGTGGTAATGCGTTACTTTGTCTTTCATGTTTGTATCAATGCATAATGCATTATTGTGCAATAAAATTGCCTTTTTTCATTTAATTTTGGAAGACAAATTAATGGCAAACTCATATTGTATGATAATGTCAACTCAAAACTGTCTGCCATATGGAATAGAACACTTTGCTAACGGTGTCACTTGCTGCTAACAGACCTATTTAAAAAACTGATGCTTGGACTGCTTTGAGTATTCTACTTGATTTATTTTCTTCTTTCAGCTGGGACAGCATTAGGCCTTGGAGTTGTGAACATTCTGCACACCGTGAACCCCTCTCTTGTGATCCTTTCTGGAGTTCTAGCTGGCCACTACGTTAATGCTGTCAAAGATGTGATAAATCAACAGGCTCTGTCCTCTGTTAAAACTGTGGATGTGGTGGTCTCAAATCTAGCAGATCCTGCTCTTCTTGGAGCTGCTAGCCTGGTATTGGATTATACTACACGTAGAATATACTAGGTACCTGGTAGAATTATAGAAATGGACTATTCAAATTCCTAATGGGTGGAGGTAATACTTTGCTCAAAATTTTCTTTGATGAGATCAGCAACTGAATCAGAGTAATGTTCTGAACAGTTCGTGACTACTTCAACATTTCCTAATTAAGGTATTATCTTTTTGTATTTTTGCTAAATTCCAGCTGACTGCATAGGAACTAACATGCAATTCTGTTGGTTTTAGTATCACCTCTGTTGGTAAGCCCATATGTTGCTTTAAGTGCAGCTGAATTATTTATAAGCATATCTTGATGTATGGTGGCGAATATGTGTGTGGTGTGTCAAATTAGAGCTAACATTTTGGGGATACGTTTTGGGGATACATTTGGGGATTTCTTATTTCCTACCTATTTGAAATGAGAAGTCTATAATATGACCGGCTTTTCAGTTTCCAGGCTTCTACCCACAAAGTAAATATGATGTAATCACCAATAGCAGGTGATAATTTCAGTGGGTGGAAAAGAGGGAAGTTACCCCTACAATCAAAAAGGCTGCATCTACAAGTTGTGGTTCATGAAGGACTTGGTGGAGGCAGTTATTTATTACATCATCTTTGGAGGGCAGAGTCCCATTTTAGAAGCTTTGCATGTGAAGAAAGAAGATCACAGTCTAGTGAACTTACAGCCTGCAGAGCAGTCCAAGCAAACTGCCAAGTGTAGCAGTGAGCATCTTTTGTCTTCTGGCTATGGCCAACAGTAAATTATTTTAATTTATTGTTTGGGGTTTTCTTAAGCGACTTAAGTCTACTACTTTGTCTGTCAAATTAGCAGAGACGGGACTGTTTATTCTTTGGTAGCCAGTTAGCTGAAATTCAGCTATGTGGCACACCTGAGCATAAAGACTACCTTTCAAGAAAGCTCTTCCACCGTCTCCTCAGCAGCCCTTGTGGCTACAGGTACACTGTTCTTGTCCTGCACTCACCATCAGCTTGCAGGATGGAAAGTCAAATCTGGGCCTCATCCTCACCTTCAAGACATTAGGAAGCCTGGGAGCAAAGTATGTCAAATACCAATGAAGGCTTGCCTTGGTAAACCACGGTTTATGTTTCTTTAACTAGTCCTTCTAGTTAAACTAGCCCTTCTAGGCCTAACAGAGTGGAGCCCTGTCATTTGATCTTTCCATCTAGCATCACAAGGAATGCTTAACTAAAAGTGGGACCAGGCTTTTGCTTTCTAGACCTCCTGAAGCTAGGATATTTTTGATTCTCAGACTCCAGATGTTTTTCCCTAGCAGCCGAGAGGGTGCAGGTATAGAGAAAACATGAAAGACTAAAACACGTTTGAAAAGTTTTGCTCTAAACACCCCTAACCTCTCGTCCTGTTAAGAAAACGGTTCTTCAAATACTTTTGAAAATGGTTTTTCTGTCAACTGGAGAAGAACTTGCTTCATATGTGCAAGTGGTGCAGAAGTCCTTGCAGTTTTCCCTGAGAAGTTTGTGGCTTTATAAAATCAAAAATAATAAAAAATCATATTTAATAGCATAACAGTAATTTTATTTATTTGTTTCTCCTTCCTACCCTGTTCAGATACCTCCCTCACACTTCAGGCACTTTATTGCAGATGAGAGGTTTTAAGGACACTAGCTCCCAATTGTATCCAACCCCAGGGGGAGCAAACATCAGGTGTTCACAGAACATCTGCAGTACTGTGCTATCTGGTTACTTGATGCTGGCTCCATGTCCTTTAGAGCAGCCCATACCATGAAAGTCATGGGCTCCAGTGAGGGCAAACCAGGCTCTGTATCCATTTCTAGGAGGGAAGAAAGGCAGCAAAAGCACAAGATAACAGCTGAACTGTCTTTTCCTAGCTATTATTAGCATTTCAGAGCCTAAAGAAGCAGTGCCTTCCCATTACATGCATTGGCAGCATCTGCTAATACTACCTGTTGTAGGAAGAGGTTTGGTTTTGCAGTGTCCCTGGTAAGTGAATGTGGTATCCTAACTGTGCTGATGCCTTAGCAAGAATGCCACGGTCCAGCCTTCTAAATTGCATATGACACTCAAGAGCTTGGGCAGGAGGAGACCCTTCGTGGACATGCATGTTTTTCATCAGCATCGCGTGAGCAAGTACCAGCAGTACTTAAACTGCAGAGTGCTAAAAGGTTGGAAAGTGATTTAAAACCGCAGTTCTTAGTGCTGTAGCTTATAATTCATGTAACCAATGTAAGACCTCGGTCAGTCCCTATACCACATTGCTCCTCATCTTTGCATCGGGTGGAAGAAGACTGCTTTGTCCACAACAGCTCTGCCTAAGCATAAAAATCCAACTAGCCTGGACGTGGGACCATGAGGAGGCCAGCTGAGTTTTGCTAGCTATCTTTTTACAGATCGTTGCTGATGCTTTGCAAGTCACATAGCTAATCAGTACAGCATGAAGGTTTGGAATTTCTTTGTGGTCTCCTGACCAGCAAGTTTCATTATTCAGTATTTTGAGTCTTTGATTTGACACCAGGCACTCAAAATTAGCAAATGCCTCAGCCTTCCAGTGGTCTGGAAGCGCTGTCCTTCCTCCATTTAAGTGTATCAAAATTGTCAGAAGGCTATATTACCAATGGAGGCACTGTCAAGTTTGTATCACAAACACATCTCAGACAGTAAGGTGCAGACAGAGTTTATACTGTGATTCAATCTGCATCAGTGAAATCTGATTGCTGTGTCCTCCCTTTCAAATGCTGTGGAGAGGTTACAAGCATTAGTAAGTGCAAAACACCTGGACTGTACACACCTTAGACCACTCCAGATAATTGTGTTTGGAAAATGGTTTATGAAAGGCACATTAGAAGTAGTGCTTTGGCAGCTGAAGTGTAGGTGCTAAAGCCATGTATTTAGTACAGTTGTTTTAGTGTAGCACCAAGCTGTGTTTACTGAAAGCAGATGCTTTGCACTGTGGACACATGTTTTAGTAAAAACTAAACACAATATTCTGAAGAAGACACAGAAAGCTAAATTTTACTTAAGGCTTGCTTAAGCTTGCACATACAGTTGCAGCACTTCTGGGTTGGTTCATTTGGCAAGTTCATATAAAGCAAGATGAAACCGTATACTTTGCTGTGGTGCCCAAACCACCCACTGCTTGTACTTTGCAGTTTGGTTTAAATCAGAAGAAGATGACTACTTTTTCAGATTGAGCAAGGCAATGAGAAGACAAGTAATATAGCCAGTTCGTTCTGCTGCTGTCATAACTGAGAGAAGCTTTTGGGTTCACAACCTTCCTTCTGACCTCGCAGAGATATCAGCTCTATTCTTAACAAATCACAAACTACTGTGAGGTTGTTACTGCTAGCTGAAGAAAGCTTTGCATGCGTGAAAGCACAGATTTTTTTTTTCCAATAGCCTGAAAAGAGATAACGTATCTCGAAACCACACCTTGTTTCTACTATTAGACTGCCATTACTGTAACTCTGTATCTGCAGGTGTTCCAAATACTAGGTCTTCCAGCTTTTTTTGCATAAAGCACATTACTCAGAAGTTTTAAATAAAGTGCTAAATTTGTACTTAATTAAACAGAAAGTGTATGAAGACTGTATTTAAGGTAAAATTTTGAAGAAATATCATGGATTTTTTTCCAAAGATAACCTTATTTTTAATTTTAATTTCACAAGCCTGTGATGAGTATGGATACGGCACTTTTTACAAACCTAGTTAAGATTATACCTCATCCATACCTCATGCCTTGAGCTGGGTAAAATTTACGCATACTAACCAGCTGTGACCAGTACACAGCAACCTGAAGCAAGAGATCAAATGTGTGCTTGTAACTGTAGCCAAAGGCATTGCAACACTGTAATCATACATAATTGCCAGTGAAAGTTGCGGCAGGGATGAAAGATCTTGTGAAACACTCCTCTGTGGAAGAGTGTCGAGCAGCCCTTCTTCTCTGAGACTAGAACATAAAATTCAAATGGACGATCCTACAAGGTGTAGTCAGACCACAAAGGCCTCGGTTGTCAGCAGATCCGGTGCAGCCCCAGGCACTATACCATCCAGTGCCACAGTGTGCTGCCGCAGCACTGCCGTTCTGCAGAGGAACAAGCTCCCCGACAGGACAGGTACTACTGAAGGAAACCTCTTCTGGCAAAAACAACAGACACTCAGCTTGTCCATTATAAAATACAAGCCAATAAACTATAGATTTCCATCTTAACCAGCTGTTTGGTTAAAAAACATCAGCAAGAAACAGGCAAGCCATAGAAAGACATGGTTTTGATGGATGGACCACAC